GGACTGATAATCTTTGAAGTAACCATTTGCATTATTTCTTGCTGCATTTTTTTCCTACAAGGAGAAAGCAGATACTGTGGGTTTTTGTTTTGTTTTGTCCTAGGAGAGTATGGCAGCAAGGCTGAAACCAGAAGTTGCCTGATGAAAACATCTTCCTTTCTGTCTTTTGTGATTTTAAACCTAAATCCATAGGAGGAGGAGGGTGATTTGGGGACATGGCCAACCTCACAACAGATTCTGTGATGTAGGAATTACCTCCAGTTTACAGGCTGAACACGCAGACAGTCTGAGGGTGCACAGCATGGTGATGAAACGTGCCTATGGCACCTTCAAGGCATGTGGGACAGATGCTTCTCTCCTGGAGCTGAGCTAATCCATAGATTCTGGTCCTCTGTATTCATCCACACCGAGGCTCTCGCTTCCCCAGCAGAACCACTCAATGTGAGCTTCTCTTTCTCATTTCCTCCTCTCCATTTCTTATTTAAATTAAAAGGTGCAAAGAGTAGGAAGGATCATTCTGGATAGCTTACGTTTCATCTAAATATTATGCACAAGATCCAAATAACAGGATTATATTCTCTATTTTACACTCATCTGTGGTCAGTTGAAGCCTCTTTTTTTCCTCAACATTTGCTCATATTTGCCCTTTCTAGTTTTGTTCCCTTATATCAGCGGTTCTCAACCTGTGGGTTGTGACCCCTTTGGGGGTCGAATGACCCTTTCATAGGGGTCACCTAAGACCATCGGAAAACACATATATAATTACATATTGTTTTTGTGATTAATCACTATGCTTTAATTATGTTCAATTTTTAACAATGAAATTGGGGGTCACCACAACATGAGGAACTGTATTACAGGGTCGCGGCATCAGGAAGGTTGAGAACCGCTGCCTTAGATCAGTGGTTGGCAAACTCATTAGTCAACAGAGCCAAATATCAACAGTACAATGACTGAAATTTCTTTTTTTTTAAAAATATATTTTATTGATTTTTCACAGAGAGGAAGGGAGAGAGATAGAGAGAGTTAGAAACATCGATGAGAGAGAAACATCGATCAGCTGCCTCCTGCACATCCCCCACTGGGGATGTGCCCGCAACCCAGGTACATGCCCTTGACCGGAATCGAACCCGGGACCCCTCAGTCCGCAGGCTGACGCTCTATCCACTGAGCCAAACCGGTTTCGGCTGAAATTTCTTTTGAGAGCCAAATTTTTTAAACTTAAACTATATAGGTAGGTACATTGTTATTAACTTAATTAGGGTACTCCTACGGCTTAGGAAGAGCCACACTCAAGGGGCCGAAGAGCCGCATGTGGCTCACGAGCCGCAGTTTGCCGACCACTGCCTTAGATGATTCACCTTCTTCTCTGGCCAGGATATAATCACACTAAGTAAACTGCTATGGATTCATACTGAGAAAGAATTTTTCTCATGCCCTACTTGAAACCAATTTCAGTTGATTTCCACCCAATTTAGCGATATTTTTTTACTTGTCTATCCCAATATGAGACTCCATTAATCCCTCAAATATCTCTTGAGTCCTTAGTGTCAGCCCAGTTCTGTGTGCTGGGGATACACATTGTCCTCTGTTCTGAGCAAAACAAAGTACTGCTTGTCTGGGCTTCAGTCTGGGTCCTTAGAGTGAATGCAATAGATTACTAATGATGAGGGTAAAAGCTGACATATAATCATGTTGAATTTACAGAGAGCAAACATATAACTAAATGCCTCCAACTCTCCCATTGCTATAAGGAGAGAGAGAGAGAGAGAGAGAGAGAGAGAGAGAGAGAGAGAGAGAAAGAGAGAGAGAGAATGAGTTTGGAGGGCTATGGGAGGCAACAGCTGAAATGGAAAACAAATACAGGGAGGACAGAGTGGAAAATGCAGGGAGAGGTTTCTCCCATAGCTATTTTCTAGAAATAGAAATAGAGATGTGCAGTTTCTAGTTATAAATTAGGGAAGACAACAAGAAAAGGAAATGCAAGTTTAATTAAGATTGATCATAAATGGTAAAATGGAGATTAATATTTTAAAATTCAGCTTTCAATTTAAAAGAGTTAAATTACACAAAAGGAAATTATACATGAAATAGAAGAACAAATTGTTTTGTGATTTTAGAAAAAAAACAATTTATTCGTCACTGTCCCTGGGCACTTTCTGGTTTAGAATAGAAAAGCCATTTCTCTTTTGACCCCAGGAGAGCAAGAACCCAGTGCCTCCAATCCCGCAGCATATGAGTTGCTATTAGTTAGGCAGGTATCTGTGTACATTAAATGTAAACTAAGTATATTGCTTCTCAGATTCAGATAACCTGTGTTAAGCAGTTACCAACTCACTGCTCATTTAAAAAGTTTGCCTAGTATCAGATTCCATGAGTCTAAATGCTCCTCGATTAGCCTAGGACAGTGATGGCGAACCTTTTGAGCTCGGCGTGTCAGCATTTTGAAAAACCCTAACTTAACTCGGGTGCCGTGTCACATATAGAAATTTTTTGATATTTGCAACCATAGTAAAACAAAAATTTATATTTTCGATATTTATTTTATATATTTAAATGCCATTTAACAAAGAAAAATTGACCAAAAAAATGAGTTCGCGTGTCATAGGTTCGCCATCACTGGCCTAGGCCATGGGCATTCTCCACTGTGCTGTCAGTGTCTGGCATAGAGCAGATGCTGTAAATTTTTTGCTGGGTTGAGTGGGACTGAACTAGATGTCAAAGCTGTAGGTAGATGGCAGTATGACATCTTTCTATGCAGCCAGTTAGGAACTTTACACCCATCTCTCTGTGATCTGGGAACAAGTTCCTAAATGTTTCATCGTCTCAACTTTCTCATCTGTAAAATGGGAAACTTATAGCTGCCACAGTTACTGTGAGGATTAAATAAAACAATCTGGATACTTAGCACAGGGCGTGGCTCATTCCTCTCAATGAGTGGTAGTTATATTATGGTGCGTATGAGCACTGCCCACATCTACAGTACAATTACTATGAGTTGAGAAGAGCTGAGTGCTCTTTAAAGGAAGTTGAATTAAACCCATATTTCACCAACTAAAAAGTTACTTACAAATTAATCACATGTCAAAAGATTTTTCCCCCTGATATTTTGGAAGTATGAACTAGTTGACTTTGGGGGGCACAGGCTGAAAGTTGTTACCTCTTTATTAGCTGTACCGCTGCTAGACCCTGCCTGAAACCTCTAGTTAAGATATTTTGGCAGAGGGCAATGGTCTAATTTTGGTGAATGTAATAAAATTGGGTTAAAATGCTCATATGCTATGGCAGTAACCAAACCCCTATGACACGTTGTTGTTAGGTTGGCTGATGTCAGTGCCAGTACTTCTGGAGGACACAAATGCATGTTGCCTGCACCCAAGTAAAGTTCAAGTCCTAAACAGCCTTCAGAGGAGGAGAGATGTAGGCTCTTCTAGAAGAGTCAGTAGCGGGAAGAATCCAACTGAACTTTTAGTTGGGAGTCATTTCCCTTATAAAGGGAGGGGGGTCCTCAAGGGGCCATTATGTGAGGTCAGGAGGAGTCCGCGGGGCTGGCTCATGGATGATTCACCCGCCGCACTCTAAGTGGCCTGCAGCCCTACTGTGTGCCTCGGGGCTGGTGCCCGAAGGCGCGCTGCCTTGGGCGCACGCAGTCCGGCCGTCCGTCCGCGAGGTTAACTGTGCACCGGCCACGCAGGCCTGCCCTCTGGAGATAGTCTCCAGCCCTCATCCGCGAGCCGGCTCCTGCCGGCCCCACAGCCTGCCATCTCTGGGCACTTGGAGTTCCCCGTCCGGCCGGCGGTGGGCGCGCGCCCCGCGAGGCCCGAGCCCGCTGCCGCGTGCGCAGCCAGTCGCCCCGCGGAGCCCTGGGGTCCCGCGGCCTTGGCGCCCGCTCGCGCCCAGCTCCGTGCCCGCAGCCTGCAGAGGTCGGTGCGGACCGTGCGCGCGGGGTCCAGGTCGGCCCCACCTGCCGGCACTGCGGCCCCCGGCGGCCTGGCCGCACGCCGGTCCCCGCCGCGGAGGGGGATGGGGAGGGAGGAGAGACGAGGAGTTGGAGACAGACACAGCCTCCGCGAGCACAGTTACGGCAGGAGACAGACGGCGGCGGGCGGCGGGCGGCGGGCGACTCCCCCCTCCGGCGACGGGAGGCGGGACACCTCCCTCGGCGGCCGTAGCACTGTACCCCCAGCCCCGAGGCTGCGGGCCGGAACGGGGACTAGCAGGCGAGTGCGGCTGGCCCTGCCTGCCCCTGCCCCGCGCGACACCGCAGCCGGCCGGGGATCCCCTGCGAGCCGGGGAGGAGCCGCCGCCGCCACCACCGCCGCCGCCTCCGCCGCCAGACAGACTGCGAGTCCCTGGGAAAGTGAAAGGGGGGCGGGGAGCGCGAGGGAGGCCGGGGTATAAGGTCCCCGGCTCTTAAAAAGACCCAGCGCGCCGGCCCCCCCGCCCCCCCTCCCAGCCGCGGCGGCCCCGCACCCCGCGCCCCTCCCCCGCGCCCGGCACGGCCCGGCGGCCCAACGAGCCGCACTGCGGGCGGTCCCAGCCTCCGCTCCGGAGGGGCGGCCGCAGGTGAGTGCGGACCCGAGGTGGCTGCTGTGACCGTGGCGTCTGGCTCAAGTTCAGCGCTGCGCTGAGGACCGGGATTGGGGGCGGGGGGGGGGGCGCAGAGTGGTGGGGACCCGGGGACAGGACGCTCCGGGAACGGGACGTCCGCGAGCCTGCGCCGTCGGCGGGGGCAGAGGAAGCGGCCCAGCACTGGGCACCCTCCCCACCCTGGCGAGTGGCTGGGACACGAATGCCCGGAGTCTGCGAGGCAGTGTCTCAGGTGGGCACGGAGGCCACCCCGGTTGTGGGGACGGGGGTGCTTTGCTGAAGGTACACTGCCGACCCCCACCCCGTTTTCTGTTTCCCGGTTCCCCGGCGCGGCTTGTCCTGCGGTTGCAGGACTTAATTCTGCACCAGGAGGCCGGCGTCAGCGGGAGGGTGGCCGCTCAAACTGAGGTCTTGGCTCCCTTGGGCCTCCCGGTCGGGGGACTGGAGGTCAGAGCCAAGCGGGAACATTGTGCAGGACCTTGCGGGGGAGTTTGCGGAAAGAAAAGGAGGCGGGAGCCGGCATTGCTATGGACCCTGGGACCTGCGGCCCCGGCGTCCCGCAGCCTCACGCCCCGGCACCCGGCATCCTGCGCCCCACGCCCGGCAAACCCTAGGACCTGCCTCTCCCGGCGCTGACCCGGGTTCCCCCGCGCGCGTTGACGTCGGTCGCGGGGCCGCCCGGAGCTCCCGGCATTGGCTGGGAAGTCGATTGTCTCGGGCGGCTGCTGTTACACTTAGGTTGGGTCTCCGAGCTCTGGAGGAAGCAGGCAGGCGTGTGTTGAATTTCTCTCTGACCCTCACGGTGGAATGAACAGGAAGCGACGAGCACCCAGCCCAGGCCCGGCACTTGCCTTTGTTGCGGGGTCAGCCTGCACAGCGGTGAGGAGGCTCCCCGGTGCCCCTGTCCGGTGGGCCGCCCAGGGTGGGGTTGGGGGCGCGCCCTGCAAGTACGCTGCTGGAAGACAGTGAGTGGGCTGGCTCTACTCAGGTTAATTCGCTATGGTGGCAGAGAGGACATTTGCTTGTTTTTAAACTTTTTTTTTTTTAATTGGAAAAGGAGGAGGCTTCCCAACGTGGCAGACTTTCTGGAGGATGACATGGGCGCGTTGTGGGTGGGTGGCACCTGGAGAAGGCGCATGGGTCAGTGCCCCGTTTCCTGGGTTTGCTGGCAGGGCACCGCGCTGCTTGTCTAGACTGCCAGAAACTCTTTATAGCAAGTAGGGCTTCCTCGCTCCTCCTACCCAGGCACAGGAATGACTGCTGAGTGGCAATGGCCACGTAAACCAGCTTAATTTTTATTTTCTTCAGTCTTTTAATTAGCTAGCATTGGATAATTTTGATTTGCTTCTTCTCTCTTCCTTTGTGTCCCATCTATTCCCTTCTCTTTCTCTCTTATATTTTTGGCAACTTCTTATCCCTGGACCCCTCCACTTATAGTTCAGTGCTCCTTTCGAAATGTTAAATGTGATTGTGATATTGATTGATGACCTACTGTGTGCTTGGCATTGTGGGATGCAAGGTGAAATAAGTTGTAAAGAGTGTTGATTCAGAGAGCTACCGTTAATAAGTTTCTTGCAGTGGAGGTGGGTAGAGATGGTGAATAGCTTTGGCTCTTAAAAATATCTGGGTACTGTGGCTGGCATGGAGGTTGGTGCCTTCCCTCAGGACTAGGGCTGGGAAACTGTTCTTTAAGATGGCCCTTTCCTCTTGTCTGGCTAGCCAAGGAAGGTATTCTCCCATTTGTATTTCCTCTGGAGCTTCAGGACTGAGTATTGAATTACAGGAAAGATTCTGTAGAGTCTGCACCCAGAAGCTGTCATTGCACAAGCCATGTTTTGCATTTTGCATATGCGTATTTAGTCTTTTCTGCTATTTATATTGAGTTTACTGTCATCAGTACATCTGCCTTTATATTCTGCAGAATTCTCTCGGAACACATTCTTTATGTTTAGTAAAGGATCATAATGTCAAATTTGAGTCATTACATAGACAAATGAGTAGATCAGAATATTACCCATGCACATTTATGGATTACAATATTTGGTTTCCTATCAACCCTTGAATGCAGAGCAGTACCTTTTAAAAATGGGAGAAATTCTTCATGATCTTTGGAAGCTTAATTCTTTTGAGAGCTTCCTGTTACTATTGACATTTGAACGCACTGTTAGGAATTAGGTGCCAATCTGTAAATGCTAGTAAGGGATTTGTTGTAATGGAGTTGTAGCGGCATTCCTCTCTTGATTTAAAATATTCCTCTACGTTTCCAACATTCTGCTGTTGCCCCTGGAAGAATTTGCCCTCGTTGGCCATGGTTCCAGTTTGTGTAGGTTTGTATTTGTGATGAAGAGGACTATTCCCAGTAGCTTTGGGGGCTGTCTCTTGAATCCTTTTAGGGCCTTGGTTTGTATGACCACAATCCTGCAGAGTAACCCAGCAGTGCCAGCTGCTTATTTGGGGATTTTGTGCCAGTTTGTTGGATTCAAAGTCCACCTTCACAGCCCCCACCCCCACCCCCCACCTCCGAGTATATACATACATAGACAAATATTTATTTTCCCCCAACTGCTGTCAGTGTCCTAAGAATAGTTTAGTTGCCTGGCGCCCTGAGAGTAACGGCCCATCTGTAGAGGTGTTTTCCGTTTGGGACTGTGCTGTGGTCTTGGTAGACTTAGCAGCTCTGCAGAGCAGCCTTACAGTTCACGGACGCAGTGTTTTCTCTCAGCCTCTGTGGGGCACCTCCCAGCCGGACAGGGGAATGGGGAGGTGAGAGTGACTTTTGCTCTCTGAAGGGAGTTTCTGGGCTGCTGCCAAGGAGAGACCACCAAGCTCTGTCTGGGTCCCTTTGCACTGCCCAGGATGCAGTCAGCCCAGCATTCAGTCACCCTATGGTCTGGGCAGGAGGTGGTTGCTCTGTGTCACCCTGTAAAACCCAAGCACTTGGAGGACTCAGGGCAGGGACACTTGCGACTGACTGGTTAGATCAGTGGTTCTCAACCTTCTGGCCCTTTAAATACAGTTCCTCATGTTGTGACCCAACCATAAAATTATTTTCGTTGCTACCTCATCACTGTAATGTTGCTACTGTTATGAATCATAATGTAAATATCTGATATGTAGGATGGTCTTAGGCGACCCCTGTGAAAGGGTCGTTCGACCGCCAAAGGGGTCGCGACCCACAGGTTGAGAACCGCTGGGTTAGATCTTTCTGGTAGCCCTCATCATGTTTTTTTTTTCCTCATCTTTCTTCTGAATCTCGGTTTAGGGAGTCTTTCTGATGTGTCTGTCCTTTTGGGTGAGAATTAATAGAGAAAACGCAAGGAGCGATAGCTATGATTATTCCATGTTAACCTGGAAAATTTTTAGAAATGCTTAACACACTTTATATAGGCACATGGCTATTTATATGTAACAGTAGCAAAATAGCTAAGTAGTCCCAAATTGCCCTTTCCTCCCTTCTTCCTCCTCCTCCCTTCCGCCTTCCATTCCTCCTTTCCTTTTTTTAGGTCTCAGAGAACTCGCCTGGAAGCCACTATTATCTGATGTCAAAGTGACTTTATGCTACATGGGATTTGTTAGTCTACAAGTACACCTTGACCTATATTATGGATGTTCATGGAAGGTGAATCTTAAGTTTTAAAATAGGAATGTAAAGCTTCTGCCTACTATTTGAAAATTTAGGCCACAAGACCTGCCATTTTTCAGGGAGTTTTTTTTTTTTTTTTTAGTCTGGCATTACTTGCTTCACTGGTAAGCCCGTAAGGGAAATAGCCAAGCACCTATACTATTAATTGGATTTATATTTCCAATTAATATTATCTTTTCCTCTATCATAGGAGAACTTGAAAATAATATCTATGCTGTGTCATATCCAGGTGATTTAAGTATGGATTGCTTTTCTTTGAATTCCCACTAAAAATGGTACTTTGGCCTTTTCAGCTGTTTTTGTGAGAGCTTTTCTTCCCACCAAGCTTGTTTTCCAGATAGGTCTTGGAAATTACTAAGAACATAGCTATAAGTTCTCCCTCGATTGGCAGCTGAGAGCTTTCCCGGACAAAAATAAGGCTGCACAGTGCCAAATGGTTGACTTTTCTAGAATAAAAACTCTAAAGGGTATGCAAAAAGTCCTCTGGTTAATATATTGGCATTCCCAGAACCCACTAAAACTCCGGCAGCCTGCCAGACACCACTTAATGAGGATGCAGAATGTCTGGCTCAAATCCCCATGAGCAGACGGGGTGGGAGCTCATGTCCACACCCTTTATTAATTTTTAATGACTGTACTTTTGTTTTGCAGATTTTGTTCTGTAACCCCCCATCATGACTGACCCCCATCATGACTGACCCCCACCATACCCATCTCCCCATCCATTTATTTACTCATTTACTTGGCATTGGAAAAATGTTGAGACTTTTAAGGTTAAGAATCCTGCTGAGGGATCATTTCTGGTTGCATGGGTTCTTTTGTTGTTGTTTTTCTTTCTTTTCCTTCCTTTTTTTTTTTGTTTTGGAAGGGGAAGAAAGAAAAGGAACAGAAAAGGAGATAACTTTTTTAAAATGATGTTTTATTGTGTGCTGGAAAAGAGAAGCATTTATGAAACTTTAAGTTTGTCAGACAGTTTATATGACAGTGCAAGTTGCTGCTTGCCAAGCTCCAGACAGATTGCTAATGTTACATGACAGGGATAAATAAATTACCGCTGTCTGCAACGCGCTTGCACTGCAAACCCACTCTGCAGCCAGTGGTGGCCCAGGCGGTGCGCACCCAGGGAGCCTGTTGGCTGTGCAGCTGCAGGGAAGGCCTCTGCCTACTGCTTACAATTCTGTGACTTGGTTCGGAAGTGAAAAGGGTGTGTCCCTCGCTATATTTTTGGCAGTGCTTCGGGGCAGCCGAATCCACGTAGCAGCTCTGTGTCCTTAGTTTTGCTGGTGGCTTTGCCCCCTTACCCTGCCCCCCCCCCCTCTTCTTCCTCCTCATCAGGGCATATGGCACCTAGTCTTCCTCGCAGGGACCTGCTCCAAGAAACTAAACTTTGCTCTTAGATGGACCTGCTCTGGCCCGATGGTTTCTCAGAGCCAAGTTTCAAGCTGTTTACAGTTGCGTTCTTTCTGCAGGTGCAGACATTGAGAACAAATTGTCTGAGATAAGTGTGGTGCTGCCCTGGGCGGGGGCTGGGTGGCACTCCTGGGCATAATGTACTTTCATCTCTGGCAATTTGGATAGTCAGCTGGCAGAGTGACAGGTGTAATGAACTTAATGGTCTTGCTCTGGTTGTTAGTGGACACACTGCTCATATTACAAAGCCACCTCCTAAACTGGGCCCCTGCCAAATGACTTGCTCTTCTCTTCGCAGACTGGATGCAGGACCTGGACTACTCGAGCGACGTTAAGAGCAGGAATTGGGTGGGTGTGAGCAACATCTGTGTGCCCTCATCCACATGATCCCTAAGTGGATCTAGAATTTCTTTTCAAAGTACGATTGTTCTATCCAGTTTGCAAGAAGGCTCCATCCCATTCACCCGCCCCTGGCCAGCCATCCTTCCACATGAGGTGCGGCAGAGGCCTTCTGTGTAAGCGGGTGGACGCCTTGCTTCTGGGGTTTGCAGAAGGGCAGGCTTCCTGCGTGCCTTGTGGGTGCCTTTGCAGCAGGGGTCCTCGAACTACGGCCCGCGGGCCACATGCAAATACAAATATTGTATTTGTTCCCGTTTTGTTTTTTTTACTTCAAAATAAGATATGTGCAGTGTGCATAGGAATTTGTTCATAGTTTTTTTTTAAACTATAGTCCGGCCCTCCAACGGTCTGAGGGACAGTGAACTGGCCCCCTGTTTAAAAAGTTTGAGGACCACCATCGTCCAGAGATGGGCTGGGCTCCTGGCCA